GGAAATAGAGACCCCTGATGAGCTGACTGAAAGGAGCAGCTCCTGGGCAGGCAGGTGGTGTGGTGCTTCACGTGCTGGACTCCCACGTGGGAGATGACAGTTCAGGTCCCGGGCCCGGCAGCTTGGAAATGATACCAGGCGCGTGTGTGTGAGTGCCCCAAGTCCTGATGGGACTGGAGAAGGGGTTAACAGGTGGCCAGGACGCCCTGTCTCTGGTGAGCGCACTTGCCCTATAGAAAAAAATAACAGTAAGAAAAAACAGGAGTGTCTAAACAGAGCTCAAAGATAAGCAATTTAAAAACCACTGAACTGAAGAGCAGCAGGTGGGCGACCAGCAGGTGGCGTAATGGCTATGTCGCTGGACTCCCACGTAGTCGACCGCGGTTCGCGTCCTGGACCTGGTGGCTTAAACTCACGCCGGGCGTGTGTGCATGCATGCCCAAGATCCAGAGAGGAGAACGGAGGAGAAGGGATTACGGCGTGGTCATTCCCCCTGGGGGGTCATTTCTCGCTTTCTGTCTCCGTCGGGCGAGCAGACGTGCCCTATAACAAAAACCTCTCAAAAAAAAAAACCAAACAAAAAACAGCAGGTGGTCGGGTGGGCAAGGTCCTAGACAAGGCTGACTGCAGTTCAAGTCCCAGACCTGGTGGCTTGAAAATCATGTTGGGCACATGTGCGTGCATGCCCAACATCCGGGAGGAGAATGGAGAAGGGACTGCAGCATGACCATCCCCCAGGAGGGATTTCTCCCTCTCCCTCTCTCCGTCTCTGTCTCTGGCAAGTGCGTGCACCCTGTGGGAAGACCTAACGCATGAGGGCACTGAGCTGCGCTGTACCAGGGAGATTTTACAGTGAATTGTCTGGTCTTTACTTAAAGACCATTTTAAACATCTCATTTAAAAAGATCTTCTAAAAAGACCAGGCACGTGGGGCCAGCAGTTGGCGTAATGGCTGTGTCGCTGGACTGCCATGTAGCCGACCGCGGTTTGAGTCCCGGACCCAGCAGCTTAAACTCATTCCGGGAGCATGTGTGTGCATGCCCAAGATCCCGAGAGGACAATGGAGGAGAAGGGACTGCAGTGTGGCCATCCCCCCCAGAGGGTGATTTCTTGCTTTCTGTCTCTCTGTCTCTCTCTGTCTTTCTGGCGAGCACACGTGCCCTACAGCAAAAACCTCTCAAAAAAGAAAAAAAAAAAAAAAAAGACAAGGCACGCTAGGGACAGACAGGAACATGCCGGTAACTACGCAGGGTTAGCATGCCCGTACATAAAGAAGTCCGGGTGATAATGAGTCCTCGGAATCAACAACCACTAGGAAACGGGGAAAGGAGACACCGAGGCACCGAGGTCTAGAAAACCCCAGTAGCCAAAGATGCGAGCAGATGCGGGCGGTCGGCAGTGCCCCTGCAGTGGGGCTGTGACCAGGAGCGGGGTGGGCTGTGGGCCACTGCCCACTGCCCAGCAGCTGGAATGTCCATGGCTTACACAGCAGGGGCCCGTGCAGAGGGCAGCAGGCAGGTGGGGGGTCTCAGGAGAGGGCAGCCCCCGCTGGTGGGAGACGCCAAGACCCCGAGTTCACAGCTGAGAGGGAATAACCCACGGCCCCCTGGCTGGCCTCAGGCGGACTCTCCCTCCCTACGCCCACCCTGGACCAAGCCTCTGATGCCCTGGGCAGCACCCGTGTCTCCCCAAGGCTAGAAGGGCTGCAGAGCAGGGGTGTGCGCCCAGGTACGGACCCTGGGGTGGGCCGTGCCAGCTCACAGAGTCACCCAGCTCCCGGGTGTGCGGGCCAGCCATGCAGGCAAGCGGGCCATGCCCTTCCATGTCCACACGCCAGGGGAGGCAGGACCAGCCGTCTGATGACCCGAGTCCCAGACCCGTGGGTGGAAAGGATGTGAAACCTCAGGTTTAACGAAGTCTGCCAAAGGGCTCCGGGGCAGCGAGCTCAGCCTCCCGGCCTGGCTATTCCCGGTGCTGCTAAGAATAGTCTGCTTTCATGCCGCCTCCTCTTGGGCCCTGCTCCCTGGGCAGCGCCGGCCTGTGGGGGCTGCCATCCAGTGGATTCCCCACCCCCTGGGGGCTCCCCACAGCCTGTGACCTCCCAGCCAGAGGCCTGGGCCTGGGATCCATGGCTGCTGTGACACAGCCCAGGGACGAGAGGATGCCAGGGATGGGCCCTGAGACCTGGGAGTGCCAGCGCTCCGAGCCCCACACAGCCCAGGAGCCTCTGCTCAAACCCGACCGTGGACACTGAGCGGGTCCCCCCGGCCCCCGCGGCAGCGAAGCGCCCCGTGAGAGGCCCGCCCGGCCCCGCGGCCCGCCCGCGCGCTCACCTGTTTGAGAGGGTCAGGGAAGAGGTTCAGGCCGATGCGGTAGTGCCTCTTGCGGAGCACGTCGTGGCTGAAGGCGGGCGAGTCCCAGCTGTTGCGCGTCTCCTTGTGGTAGGTCTGCTTGCTGAGCGTCTGCTCGCGCAGGCTGTTGGGGGACGGGCCCGCAGCTCGGGTTCCTCCCCTGGCAGGCTCTTGGGGGGGCCGCCGTGGGGGCCGTGCTTGGGGCTGCCCTGCTGGCCGCCCAGGCCGCGCTCGTAGGCGCTCTGTCTCTTGAGAGAGCCGCGGTCCGAGCGGTCACTGAGGTCCACAGAGCTGTCACTGGGCGGCTCGATGGTGAGCAGCGGGAGGTGGTCCATGCGCAGCCGCTGTTCCTGGCGCTCCAGCGACGGCGTGCTGCGGCAGCTCGTGTCCGGGTCAGCCCTGTCCTCCTTGCGGGCCAGGGCCCAGTAGTCCTGGGCGGCACCCCCGGCCCGTAGCCGCAGGTCTGAGTCGGTGCTGGACGGCCGGTCCCCTGCCTGCGAGAGGGGCAGAGGGGGTGACAGCTCTTCCTCGTCGATGTACAGGGTGACATCGCTGTATGAGGCCGTCATCTCGTCCAGCTTGTGGCGGTCCCTGCTGTGCAGGGTCGGCGCGGGCTCAGCTTCCCGGGCCCGCGCCGCGTCCAGGGCCGACGCCTCCTCCGCGTGTAGGCTGCGGCAGTTCAGGGCATCGTCGATGGACTCAGCCAGGGACTTCACCTGCCGGGAGAAGGCGTCCTCCAGCTCCGTGATGGCGTCCGCAAAGTCGCTGGAGGGGGCCGGGGACTTGAGGGTGGGCGGCTCGCCGAGGTCACCGCACTCGGAGGGTGCCAAGGCGCCCAGCTGGGAGCCGTCGCCCGTCACGGAGACCTGCCTCCCCTCCAGGTAGGAGCTGTGCGCCTTCTCGGGGCCCTCGAAGGAGAACTGCATCCTCATGTTGGACAGCACGATGCGGCGTGACATGCGGCTCTCGGACATGGAGCTACGCAGGCGCTCGAAGTTCTTGTTCATCTGGTACTGGCGGAAGGCCGTCTGGATGGTGCGGGCCGCATGGCGCGTCACGAGGCGGCCCCCATACTTCCGCTCTAGCATCTCCACCTGGTGGGACAGAGGGGCGTGAGGCAGCCGCACACAGGGCTCGACCCGCCTCCTCGGCCGTCCCCGCGTGGGGAACACGGGCGACGGGCAGGTGAGATGTCCCCTGCAGGCTTTGCAGGCCCCGTGAGAGGCAGAGGGCCGGCCGAGGCTGCTCCCGAGTGTGGGCCCTGGTGCACCTTGGGCTTGCCATCTGATGAGCACGTTTTCAGAGATGCCAGAAGAGGGGAGCCCCCAGAGCACGGGGACCCAAGGAACGTGCAGGATGAGGGACCAGCCACAGCCCTTGGCAAGGGCACGGGGTGCTGTGGGCGGGCCGTGGCCTCGGGGCCAGGTGCCTGAGTTCTAATCCCAGTCTGTCAGCTGGGAAACCCTGGGCTCGTGCTGCTCCTCGGTTCCCTCCTCTGAAATGGGACAGCACAGGCCAACCGCACGCTGGTGAGCCCTTGATGCCATGGGGTGTGCTTAGCACATGCCGGCCTGGCTGGGCTGGGAGGAGCCCTCTGTGGGCCCCCACACCCCAGCCCTGCGGACAGGCACACTGAGGCCCTCAGCCCTGGGCCAGCGTTGCAGCTGGCCTTGGTCCCTGCATGAGCTTGGGAGCCAGGCGCAGCTGGGATCTTGGGTAGGGCTGCTCGCAGGGGCAGGGAGAGCGTGCTCTGGGGCCAGTGCGGGTCTTGGGCACATGGGACCCACCTAAAACCAAAGACGGCCCAAGGGCCACTCCCTGTGCCTTGCTCCTGAGCGAAAAGCAAGTGCCTGCCACTGGGGGCCAGCCCTGCAGGGTCAAAGCCCAGCCACCCACAGGGACGGAGCTTTCTGCGAGCCAGGCCTTTCGGGGTGCCAGAGAGCAGGCCTCAGGCCAGGCAAAATACCATGCCTGGTCACTGTCCTGCCTGCTACCACATGCCAGGCAAGCACCCAGCCTGGTGGAGGAAGGGCCTTGAGTGCGTGTCAAGGACAAGCAGATGCCCGCATGGCTGACCTGTAGCTCACCCAGCTCTGAGCTGAACAGAGGGGGCGGCCCGTGTCAAGCCTGGCCCCCTAGCGTCCCAGGCCGCTGGCTGGTGATTTACGCACCTGCTCACCTCTGCAAAGCGAGTCCCGAGTCTGAGCGAGTGCACAGGCTCTGGGAGACCCTGCTCAGGCCTGAGAAGCGGGGCTGGAGGAACATCCCCCACCAGACACAGCGTGTACCTGGGGCCCACGGGGGTGGCCAGCTGGGCAGTGCAGGAGCAGATCAGAATGCTGTTCCAAGAACCCTGGCCGGAGCCAGCCGGGGCGGGTCTGTTGTCTCTCGCCCTGAAGCTGCAGAGCGGTCCAGAGATGGCCTCACCGCATCTGGAAGCAGTGGGCTGTTTTGGGTCAGGGTGGAGTCCGAGCCCACAGGCCAGGGTAGCTGGGGTGGAGCCGGGGAGCCTGTGGTCCCTGCTCCTCCTATCGGCCTCGCGGGGGTCACTGCACTGGGCCACCACCTTGGGCCTGGACTCTGGGCCTTGTAGACCAGGCATCCACTCTGTGTTTTGGTCACTAGAGACCCCCAGGCTCTCCCCAAGAGGGCAGTGACACAGGCCTGTTCACCCCAAACACAGAGCTGTCACTCTTCTTCCTGGGCTAGAACTACTTTCGGATACCGTGAGGGGCTCATCACCCCACGCCTCCTATAGGCCTGTACCCCCAGCTGACCTCGCAATGCCCTGTCTCCTGAGGGGTTTCTCGGTGGGCGGCAGCAGGGGCAGAGGGGCACTCCCATGGACAGGACCCCCCAGCAGGCCTGCCTCAGCCTCTAAAGGGAAACTTCTGGGCAGTGGGGGCGGGAAACTGAGGAACGCCTGCCCCCAGCAGAGCCGGCGCCTCACCCACCTGGCTCCCCTCAGTCCTGTCCTAGCCTGCCTGCTCATCTGCGGTGCCACCACTCCCTGCCACCCTTCAGACACGGTTCCACCACGTTACGATCCCCTGCCTTGGCCGGGACAACAGGTGTGCCCCACTGTGCCGGACTTTAGGGTGGGCTGGGCACTGACCCCAGGCCTCTCGCACGGCCGAGTGGTGGCCACCACGCCACAGTGCCTGGGCCAGCCTTTCCAGCTCCCGCCAAGCTTCCTGCTGCCTCAGGGCCCCCAGATGCCAGCTCTGAGGGTCCCCGACTGCCCTCACCCACTGCGGCCACCTCCCATGGCCTCCCTCTCCTCTCCTGGTGTCACGCTGCCTTGCGCAGTGCCGCTGTCTGGTCAGACTGTCCCGGGGGCCCAGGGGTGGGGTCTGCTCCAGCATATCGCAAACCCCCAGGGTGCATATCGGCGTGCACTCAGAGCGGGGAGCAGCCTCCCGTCCACTCCCCTGACCTGCTGTGTCTGACCGGCCTCCTGGGCCGGGGCTGACGGGGAGAGACGTGCTGCACCCCCTCACCTGCTGCTGGCCCAGTCGCCTGCTGCTTCCTGGCCAGTCCCACACCCGTGAAAGGACGGAGGGAGCCCGGAGCTGGGGTAGGCCAGGCAGCCCTGAGGCTGGGTGAGGGGGGTCGGGTAGGGACGTCGGTCCTGGACACTAAGCTCTGGGCAGGCCCGGGGACACACAGGCCACCCTGTGCCAGGAGAAAAGTCCTGCCCTGGGTCGTGCCCCCACACGTCCTGAAGTCCAGGCTACACCGGGCCCAGACCTCTCCCCCCGGAGACGAACAGGGAGATTGGGGAGTGAACCATGTACTGCAGGGCAGGGTGGGTGGGGCAGCTGCTGCAGCAGGGTGTGGGTGCTATGGGTAGACCCCTGGCCGGGCAGGACAGGGCGGTGGCCTGTGAGTCCCTGGGTCTGCCTAGAGCTTAGTGCCCAGGACCAACGTCCCTCCCTGACCCCAGGCTTGCAGGGCTACCTCCTGAAGCCCGGAACCACTGAGGGGCTCGTGGGGAAGAGCCCGTTCTGCAGCGCTCCGTGGGACGCGGAGGGGGCCTCGGTCACCCTGCCTGGCAGTGGCAGGGGGCCCTCTTCTGTTGACCTCAGAGGCTGCCTCCCATCCTAGGCCTCGTGCACGGGGCCCTAGTCCTGCACCGAGGTGCCCCATGGTGTGCTGGGGCCCGGGGAAGGGCATACAGCCTGTGGCCAGGGGCCCCCATGGGGGTGAACTGTGCCAGGACCATGACAGCAGCCTGGCCACCAGCCGCGGGGCCTGGCCTTCCCTTCAGAGCGTGAGCTGTCGGCGTTCTGACCTCGCCTCCCTCCTGCCGTCCTCTGGGTTCTCAGGACCTTGGTGGCCAGGCAGGTTACCTGCACGACCAGGCCCAGATGCTCCCAGCTGTGGGGACACAGAGCCTGAAGGGCTGGCATGAGGACAAGCTCACGGGGGTCCCTTCAACCCGGTCCCTTCGCTGAGCCCCAGCAAAGTCTCCATCAAGCTGGGGCAGAAGGCCTGGGGCGGGTGTGCCTGAAGGAAGCTGAGGCCAGGATCGCTCCTTCGACACGGCCCCGGCCGACCTGTGGCAGCCAGGGTGGGGAGGGGGCCGTGGGCAGGCAGGCCACCCACCTGCTTGTCCTGCAGGTCCGAGGACAGCTCATAGCTCTCGGAGAGCGAGCGGGACCGCTTGATGGCCTCCTCCTCGGCCTGCTTGCGCAGGACGGAGGCCGAGTGCTGCAGTCGGGGTCTCCGTGCACGCTGCTGCCCCGTCGGGCCCACGTGCAGCCCATAGGCTCCCAGCGGTGCGTGCTCGTAGCGGTCCGGGCTCAGGCTGGAACCGGGTGCTGCGGGGCCCTGGTGGTAGGCCGAAGGGCTGTCCAGGGACGTGCTGGGCTCGCTGCTGGGGACCTCGCCCTCGACGCTGCAGAGAAGAGAGAACGAGGGGCAGCCGTGAGTGCAGGCTGAGCCAGGGCGCCCCGACATGGCCCCAGTGCGAAGCAGGGTCTGCACAGACAGGGGCCCAGAGTGCTCGGGCAGCACCCGCTCGTGCCCTGCCTCACCTGCTCAGCCCCCTTCCCCGTACCCTGCCTGTGCCCAACCCCACTGCAGCCGACTGTCCTGTGTCTCCCATGCCAGGGCACGGCGTGAGACGGCGTGAGGCCCAGAACTGGCTCTGGGCAGCAGCCTCGCCAAGAGCGGCCCACCCAACCCTGCGGCCTCTCCCTGCACTGCCGTTGCCCGACGAGCACGTGGCCGCCTCCCCACTCTTCATGAGGCGGCTCCTAGCTCTGCTCGGGGCCTCTGGGCAGTTCGTGTCCCCGCACGGAGGACTGTCCGTGCTTCAGCAAGCCTTCGCAGAGCTGCCCCGTCCTGCCTGGCAGGTGACTTGACAAGGAGACGTGACCAGGACGCGGGTGCAGAGGGAGAACATGTGGGAGTGGGCAGTTGCCTCCAAGCCAAGAAGGAAGCAGCCTGGCCCACCCCTGACCTGGGCACGCGACCCCTGGAACCGCGAAAAGCAACACCCGCTGTGTAAGGCCACCAGCACTGTGTTCTCGGTGGGCCTGGACGCGGCTGCCACACGAGTGAGGATGGACTCGCGGGACGGGTGGGGCAGCCGACGCCCGCGACAG